ACCTGCAAAACGTTACGCCACTATGTGGAACATATTGTGTAACATACTGTGTCGATCATCTAATCGAGTAAAGCCCGTTAGGTGTGAAATATAAAGGAAGATACATACAGACACTTTCTCTGGGCATCTGTAGACCTTTACACCTAACTCAGCACCCACTGGGTATGCAGACCTCACCTCTCCACGGAATGCATCCAGACCTGAAAGCGAAGTGCCTAGTAAAATTACTTGAGCCACTTACAGAGACCATACAAGTCCCACCCTCTCAGAGCACATCCTATGAGGGCATAAGGTCGAGAATCAGATTTCTGGCTTAGTCCAAATTAACCAATGAAATGTAAGGCAATAAATAAGTGTTTTCGGGCCAACCCAATTTCCGAATATTTTCGCCAATAAAAAATGATTTGCCAAACCGATTTAATTTCTATTCAAACATTAGCCAGTGTAAAATAATACATTTCGGATTTGCCCGAAAAACCCTAAACCAACCCGCTTGAAATATTACCTATATCTTTGGCTTTTACTTGACCAGAATATAGGTCCTAGCCCGAAATACATTAAATAGAAACAAACTAATCATCATAACATTCCACTTATTAAAAACTTATGTTGCATTTCGATTTAGGGACGATTTCAAAACCATGGTAGTGTTCCAAATCGAAAATCAATTAATCGATTAATTAATCGAACTGGCAACTAATCGATTGATTGATTAATCGACTAGTTAGTTAATCGATAGTTGACTTAATAGACTTTTATATGGCACCATACTCTAATCTTGTAATTAATGGCTACGCAATTATATCCCAAGCCATTTTGATATGCCAACTAATCGACTAGTCAATTAATCGATTAATTGACTAATCGATTAATCGATTAGTTGGCTATAATCGATTTTTTAATCGATTTTTTAAAAAATTTTTGGCCAACTAATCGATTGCATTTTTTTGGTACACTAAACCATGTAAAAGGGAATACAAATTTAGTCCTTGCTTATTTTCATTCTTGATAAAAGTTATGCAGGAGAAGAGTTTCTCCAAGGACCAGAGCTCGAAAAGAATAAAGCTAAAACATTTGGTAGTGGAACTTGTTAGTATTATATTAACTGAACATGGAAGACGCGAAAAAAAAAGTAAGATACTAAAAAAAAATGGAACAAAAAGCAAGACACGAAAAAAAGTGGAACAAAAGCTTCCTTTGATAAATAGGTCAATACGTACGCACTAGTATGATGTTTTGGTTTAAAAATGGTTTTGTTATAAATGGAGAAGACTAAAAATGTATTGTAATAAGCTCGGAAAACAAAGTTTGTTTATTTTTTTAGCATACATTATTATTGGCTTTTTCAGGCAATAATTGTAACACAACAGCATTTTTTCAAAACACTAATTCCGGGGGACGTAATCAACCGCCAAAACAGGGCCACGTAAAAAAATCACATTTCGATATCAGCAAATATTTGGATAAAAATTTTTTAATATTTAAAATCGCAAAAAAAAAAATTTTTCTATTAAAATTTATTATTTGCGTTGACTGAAGTACTGTTTATTCAAAAAATCATTGCTTGTACCAATTTTTCTGTCTTATGCACCTTTGTCATAGACTTGGTGCGAATATATTAAGTGTAAAGTCAATAATTTTTGTCGCGACTGATGTTGAAATATGAAATTTTTTTAGGTTATATTAGGATTCATGTTTAAGTTGTTAATAAAAAGTATATGTGAGCTTTAGTAGGTTTAGTAAATCTAAGAGTGTGTTCAAAGAACAAGCTATCGAAAAATCAAATATTTCTTTATTACTGTATTAGTCGAATCACATGTATAAAGACCCATTTTTATTTGTTAGATCATAGGTAATCCCAAAAAATCGAGCAAAAATTTGGAAAATTTTGGGTAAAACGTAAAAATTTGGAAATCTTGGGATTAAGTGCAAAAATTTAGAAAAATTCGGAAAATTTTATTTCCAAAATTTTACGTGGCCCTGCCGCCAAGAAATAAAAACCGAAAGATATAAAAAACGACAGTCTAAACCTACCTCGGGCAGGTTAATCAAAAATGTTGAGAAGACAAATTTGCTTATATATAACTACCTAAAACCTAACCTAACACTAATATCGGATGACCCTAACCCTAAATTAATCGAGAAAATTATTACGAAATATGAGTGCCTCCGCTTTAGACGTAAGTGCACTTTTGGAACACACTTCGCTTCAGATCTGCAACGTAGATTATATTATATTTAATGTTACGGGGTGAATCGTAGGGTTAATTAATTTATATAATTTATAGGATAAAGCAATTCGCCAGAGGCGTGACGTTGGTGATTTGACAATAATTTATTTTATTAAAAGAATTTATCAAGGTGATTTATTAAAGGTATTATAAAGGAATTATTGGAATCCCGTAGGATAGGATATCCTTTACCAGAGAGAAATTATAGTGCTTTTATAACTTTGACTTTTTAATTCTCGGTCTTCTTTCTTCTCTCTATCTTCTTACGCGTACTTGTTCGCGTTCGGTTGTTTATCTTCTTCGGCCGATAAGCCTCAACCGACAAACCAGTTATTGACAAGTGATTATTTCTTTAATCACGAGTTTACTGTGTCAATTTCGAGATCTACATTTTAGCTCGTGACATTAATTATTATTAAATTGGTAACAGTAACGCAAGTCATGTTATATTTCGATGATGGTTGGTCATATAAAGAAGATCGGAAAAAGAATAAACACAAAGCGTTCGAATACAGTATTATCAAAATCGATATCAGTTTAATTTTAAACTTTAATAAAGATAACATATAATTGATAATCATCTATAATTTGATTTTTCTTTTAATTTTATTTTAATTCTACTAATATCGATACAAGAAATTAAT